AAGACTTTGGAGCCTTGGTTCCGCTCGATCGCTTCTTCAATACAAGCTATATTGAAGTTGCGTAAGTCCCGCCGCATGCATTTGGAGATCTGTCTGTTCAGTTGCCTGTATGCTGTCAAATCTGTTGAAGAATGTAGCTTCATCTCCCGTCTACAGCCATGAGATTAAGAGTGTGATCGGAGAATTTTTGTGTTCTTCTGTGGCGGGTCTTGCAAAACTTAGCTCCGACCGCATGGACAGTTTCCACGAGCTTGTCATTCATATCGTCCACTTCATTGCAGTCTTCTAGGCACTGAAAACGGTTTTGTAGCTCGAGCTGAAATGTTTCGGGACTTTGGAACAGAGCACGAGGGAGACGGAGCTTTGACTGCATTAGACGAGACCTCTCCAACTTAACGTTTAGGTTCAGTGTTCCTCTAACCATTCGGTGATCGCTACCAGTTTTCACCCTCGCGATCACGGAGATATCACTGAACAGTTGTCGTCTGGTCGTCATAATGAAGTCAATCTCATTTTTTGTGGAACCGTCGGGGCTCGACCAGGTCAACTTCCTGTGGGGCCGCTTCTGGAAGAAAGAGTTCATCATAAAGAGTCCCTCTTTCTCCATGAAGTCGGCCAGCTGCTAGCCCCTTGGGTTCCGTTGCCCTATTCCGGATTTACCTACTTTCAGCTCACCGTTCTCTCTTGTGCCTAGTTTTGCGTTGAAGTCTCCCATTAACACCGTATAGTGGATTTTGGAGGAATACATGGCTGTAGATATATCCTCATACATTTCCTCCACCTCCTCATCGGGATGTGCCGAGGTTGGTGCGTAAACCTGTATGACTTTCAGCGAATACCGGTTGATGATTCTGAGTATAAGGTACGAAACCCTCGTGGAGACACTCAATCTTTACATCGTTTTTAACGAGAGACTTATGGACGATAAATCCGCCACCTTCTTGGGACAGATGGTAGCCCTCCCGGTGATAGATCAAGTTGCCGGATTCGAGGATTATCATGTCCTCCCCCTCTCACCGGGCCTCAGATAAGGCTATTATATTCCAGCGCAACTTGTCTATCTCTAATCTGTTGTTATTCTCTCTCTATCACTATTGTTTGGATTTTAATAAATAACATGTTCGAAGTAAGTAACGGATGTTGTCTTGTTTAGTTCAATGACTGGATTATTTTCATTGTTGTTAGTGGTTTATATATTAATATGACTTTTGAGGTTCGTGTCTTTATTTCATATTTTGTATGTTTATCGTCGGCTTGATCGACGCTGTTATTATTTTCCAATTTAACGTGTGAAGTGCTGGCGGGCTACATATTATATTGCGTAACAATCTAAATTATCCTTCGTCACTTTACTACTCAATCGATATGCGCTGTCTGCATTCTTAAAGGATAGCATGGATCTGCAAGCAAAAAAATTATAAAGAGTCCAATGCTAAACAAAAGGACAAGTTATTCACTGCTATCTAGTGTAGTGGTCAAAGTCTACTTACTTGTCAACATATCTCTGACTGCATTGTCCAAGCCTACCTCCAATATTATTGCATAAAGCTACCCAAATTAACCGAGTTCATAAAGAAGGAGTAATGAATTTACTGTATGTTCTTATTTTAATATCTACATAACACGATATTTCCTGGGTTTTACAACGTTTTAGTTGATCCGACAGAGATTTAAATGATGTTTATGCTTCCTCAGTAATGCCTTTTCATTTTAACCAAATAGGATGATAATTGATATTGTTATTTCGCTTTTAAATAATCTATTTTCTAAAGTGTATTAGATAATACATGTAAGCTCCCAGTTAATTACTTCCTAAACAATCCAATGTGTATTATCTTTTTCCTTTGCCGTTTATTGGACCGGATTTTTACATTTCTGGGTTTTAAGTATATCAATATTCTTTTTATCATCTATTATATAGAATTCTAACCTTTCCCTGGTTTAAAGTTCGTCTTCAACGCTGTCATCAAATGCTAATCGAGAAGCGGATCCATTATCACGCTGTCAATTACCTCACGACATACAATTTGTTGTGTCTGGTTATTGCATTGTTTTGTCTGACATATTTAATTGCTTAAGTAATTGCGTTGAGGAATTGTTAAATGATTAATCCATGTAATTGCTAATAATATATTTTCACGTTATGAAAGCGTTTTAAATAAAATTACATAAAACAAAAATGAAAAGTAGACTTCAATTAACTAACATATTATAATACTTCTTCTTCTGACTTCTGTTTTCCGATGATATTTGTGCTGTTAGCCGTTTAGGCTGTTATAGCTTTATCTGGCTTTTCAGGCTGCGAGCTAAAAAGTGGGTGGAGTTTATTTATTTAGAGCAATTGTGAAAGCGAAAGCAACGTTGCACTAAAAAAAACAATCTTGTGTTTTCTGATCACACATCACATGAATGAGTTTTCTAACCGCTGTCCGAACAATGGCGGCGGGCCCCTGCTCTGACGGTTAACTCAGATAGTAATACTTCTATACGCAATGTCTTAGCACCGATTTCGGAAGCTATTATGCGGAAATTATTTTAATCTTTTTATCAATTTGAAGTCTTTTTACTTTCTATTGAAAGTCTAATTTTAATGTTGAATGTTAATGCGTAGCAAGTCTGTTTACTATGTTTTTCACCCAATTGTTAAAGTAAAATCGTTATCTCGCTTTTGTTTCGAGTTGGTATGAGGATTTTCTAGTTGATTGGCATTGTCTACATACTACATAGCATAGAATTACTAATTAAATTTATGAATATAATGTTGAAAAAGGCAAAATAATTTTTTGCAATAGTTTTGCAACTTATCTAAATTTCACCGCCCTTTTTATATAATAAGGTTGACAAATAATCACACAATCCACCTGATGTGAAAGAATGCTGTGGCCAACATTGTGTATGACTGTGGCACATTTTTCCTCGATTTTCTATCAAAATGTAGATGCGTTCTCATATCTGAGAAGTAATATGCCAAAATGTTCAGGTGTCAGTAAAAAAGTGTCGAGATAATAATATGAAGTTCAACTATCGACTTAAAAATGAAACTTTTAATAAAAAGTGAAAGCCGACTTAAAAGAACTAAGATAAATGAGATATTTTCCACATAATAGCTTATGAAGTCGGTGCTAAGACATAGTACATAGCAGAATTGAAGGCCCATAGTTATGGAACTGTACATTATTTTATTCTTTTCATTTCTTTCAAGTCGACTTACTTATTGTTAAAAGTTTAATGTTCTGACGCTTTTGAGTAGACTAAAGCTGAACACACATTTGTCCGCGCCGTACGCGCCGAATTTTAGAATTCGTTGTATGAAATCATATGAAACGTCGTACATTACACCCGCACCGTACGCGCCGACTTTTATAAAATACGATAAGTATCCGAATATTGAAGGACGCATGCTGATGACGTCATATAACGCGGCGCGTTCGGCGCGTGCTTATACTCAGTGTTGTTTACTGTTGCCAACTTAATAGTTTTTCCACTATAACTGGTGGTTTCGACTTACGTGATAATTATTGTATTTTTATTAACTTATAACTTTTAATTAATTCGTAATTATTTATACACAATTTGAATGTTTTTTGCATCGATTAGCAATATGAATACTTAGTGATAAATTATTTAAATACTGAACTAAAAAAAATAGTTAAATTTAATTCAAAAACCCAATTATACCCGATTACTTAATTATCAATAAAATACTTACCTCAAACATACAAGTCTTTTCTCTGGTTCAATTGGGCTTCTAAATCTTGAGCTTTCCATAGAAAGATATTGAAATTTGTTGTATACAATACAATAACTTTATTTCAGGCATCAAGGACTTAAAAATTAAGAACATTGGCCCATAGCAATATATACCTTAACCTAAAAATATATATAAAATATAGACATAACACTATTTAGGGAACTCTTTTCTTTGGCGCGTCCCTGTATCGGAGAAACACTACCCCAGGGGGCCAGAAATCGGAAGCGAGGAATGTCTCTGTGTTTTGCAGGAACCTGGATTTGAAATTCGTTGACCTGTTAGACTCCAGACGCTGCAAATGTAAAGAGATCGGATCCTCGATGCGGCATTTACATTCTGCGACGGCGGTGAATTCGCAGATGTTGCAATTATGTTGCGCAACATAATGACTTCGTTCCTCGGCTCGTTCCGATTCTTCAAATTTGGAACGGATATCAGTAACATCAGCTTTCAACGTGGTGATGTCTTTCAACAATCTGGTCACATCTACGTGATCGAACGTCACGGAAGGCAGCTTGTTCAGATCACGCGCGACGAAAGTTGGGATGTCATCAGGGTCAGTCTCATCTCATTGAACAGCCTGAAGATGTCTTGCAGGTCTTTCTTACCGCGTCCATTCCTGTGACGTGTGATAAGACGATGTTAAATGCAAATATCTAAAAAATCGTTCATCATAATCTAATAAGTCTTTAAATAAAGTATATCCCCTTCACATTCTCCATACAATTGTCTTTTTAAATTAGTATTATGAATCCAGAATCTTCTTTTTCATCGAATTTTATTTTTTTCTTCCTCTGCCAATAAGCAGGCTACTGCTATATTTCTCTCCATAGTGATTTCGAGCCATCAATTTCACTGTCCTTTTTCACACCAGTGGTTGCAAAAACGACTACAAAAGTTGTTGGTAATACAAAAGATTTGCGTACGGCGCGGACGATGCATACGTGCAAATGTGCGCGAGGCCATCAGTAAAACTCGGCGCGTGCGGCGCATACGATGCGTACGGTGCGGACAAATGTGCGTTCAGCTTAAGGAATATCACAATTTCAAGGCAACAGTGGTGCAATATTTTCCGCAAGTTTAAAGGGGGTACTCCTAAAATGTAACTATTTAAAAAAAAAGAATCATTGAATCGGTTTACAATTGACGAAGATATCGCGTAACATATTCATAGAATAATATACGATCGAATTGAGAAACTTTTTTGAAGGCTGTAGAACTAAAAATTAATTTCTTTTTTTGTTTTCAGAGTTCCCCGCCACCGTTCAGCCCAGCAGGAAGGACGAACGATGATGATGCAATAGTCTCCATCATTGAATCCGCCGAGGAGTTCATCTACATATCCGTCATGGACTACGCACCTGCGCTGGTCTACACGCATAAGTTAAAGTGAGTATAATTTTAATCATCGGCGCAAGAGAATCTATTAGGTGCTATTAGGAGTTCAGCATACCCGGTTTCAGAACTCCATCTAATAGATGGAGTCCTGAAACCGGGTTTGCTGAACTTACGCCTACGACGAAGATGAACATGAACATGTAATAACAAGAAACAAAAACCATCTTCCAATACGGCTGGTCACCGAGGAAGATCACGATCTATCTCACCAACCAAGCTTTACATATTAACCTACAATATAAGAACTCTGTCTTCGTACGAACGCTTAATAGAATTGGGACAGGCAATAAAAAATATAAAATCCAAATGGAACATACAAAAATCAAATCGATTTTCTTATGTCAAATCAACCAAAAATATTGAATATTAGAAAACGTTTGTATAACTTAACTTAATTCATTAAAAAATAACACATAAATATAATAAAACTTAATTCATTAAAAGTTACTACAACTTTTAAAAGCATGATCTTTTTTACTGATATAGTTTATGTCGTTGGGTAAATATCCGTTGGACGGTGAGTCGTCCACGCGACGACGAGTTTTATGATTGACGACTACGATAAAACCTTAACGGGTATTTGCCATCGTAAAAGGTCAGCTCCGACGATGTGAATTCGTCGAGTTTACAACTCTCCATTCGATGATTGGAAAGAATTCGAGTGGCGACTAACATCGATTTAATCATCGTGATTGTTAACACGATTTGTCCGACGCCTATTAACAAGGCCTTTTTTTATATAGGATAGGGTGACAAACGAGCACACAGTCTACCTGATGGTAAGTGGTTGCTGTGGCCCATAGACATCTACCTTTATCCTCGTTTACGAATCAAAATGCAGATGCGTTGTCACCCTTGAGGACTAAGATGGAATGCCTCTTTTCCAGTAAAAAGGGTCTCCGGTTCTCTACACTCACCATACGAAACACAGCAGCATTAAGCTGCTATTTTACGCTGGTATTCTGTGAGAGCGTGGTCCTTCCCCATTCGTGCTACAACTATACTATTAATATAGCTGCAGCAGCATGGCTCTACCACGTCGATAGATCGGCCTCGAAGATGGAATGGAGAACTCCAGATCAAGACCCTCTACGAGAAGTAGCCCATATGAGCTTACAGCGTCAGGGCTGCGGTAGTGTGCGACAGCGTTCCCCTAGCCCCGGCAAAGGGCCAAGAGACGAACACCGTGAGGTTTTAGCCGATAGGAGTCAATCCCCAAAAAAAAATGCCGCACGGAACAAGTATTTGTATGGCCTACTACAAATAATTGTTCTGGGTCTGAATGTTTGTCCTTGTGAAATTCATGTATCTTGGATCATCGATTCATATATCCACGATATAGGAAAAAATCATAGTACGGAGGGGGGGGGGCTATAATAATAGTTTATTATGTGTTTACTTAAAAACATACCTTTTATTCCCACGATGTTGTAACTTGAATTATAGTACCTGCTTGTCACCGAGGAGGGCGCTACTTTCTTCACCATAAGTGTTCTTATGAAAGTATGGCACCACCATAGATTACTGTATATATACTAGAGAGGCACCACTGTAGAACTGTCAACTAGTCATAGCATTTTGTGATATTCCCGCGTGTGTGCTAGAAAAAATTTCTCTTGCGAAAAAAGTGAGCAAGTTAAGAGTTAAAGTGAGTAAATTACGGAATTTTACGTTTATAATTACTCGGAAGTAGATCCGAAAGAAAGTTTTATAGTGAGATGGAGAAAGTAGACGATTCTTTAACGGAGTGAGGAATCTCCGCATCAGAACTCGTCTTCTCGCGAAGAGAATCGGGATCTATCGTCGGATGGAGACAGCGGAGAATCAGACTCGGAGTCAGAAAATGAGTCCTCACGTTCTCCAAATAAAAGAATTAAAAGCAATGAAGTAAATTCGGACCCACGGTTCGAAGCACTAATACACCAAGTAAGTCACCTTACTAATTGTCTATAATATTATTTGCTTATAAATACAGCATTGCCTTCTACATCAAATACATTATTGCCTTCTACATCGAAGGCATGTCCTACTGACTCATCTGAATTCTTAGTAAAGCCAAATTCAAATCAGCTCAATTTGGGTGAGGTCTTCACTATTACTGACAATAACAAAGTAGTAAAATTGCAACACTTTGGAACGGAGGAGTGGAAAGAGGTAAAATATTCTAAGGTCTTACAAAACTTTTTAGCAAACCAGGTTTTATCGAACTAAAGATTAATGATGAATTGTGTCACCTGAATAAGGGAAAAGACTACTTAGCAAACACAGAAAAAACTTTGGTGGGTCTTACAAATGGCTTGCTAGAACATAAGGAAATTGTACAGAGCCATTTACAAGATATTGTAAATTGGTCAAATACCTCGTCAAGTGATTTGACACCAGAAAATCTGTTTAATAAGATTATGACAGTGTTTGGACCTAACACTCAGTATCATAAGAATATGGAACAAATTGTACAAGTTGTCTGTGGGAAGAGAACAGAGTGCATAGAAATAAGAAGAGAACGCATTATATCAGAGATCTCAAATAAAATCCTACAAGCTACTCTCAGAAAGCTGCCTCCAAGTGCAGAACACCTTTTTGAGCACAGTAGTTTATTACCGGTGATACAATCTCGAGAGACAAGTGTGTGGCTTAATATGCCAACTTATTTGAAAGAAAATAAAATACCAAAGAAACGACAATATGAACCTATTATAGCAACTTCTATATCTCACTAAACTTCACAGGGGAACCGTAGCACTGCATACCGTGGTAACAAAAAAAATATTAATAAAAAATTTAAGAAGGAACAAAGAGGTAGTAACAATTCCTTTCACCCCAAAGAAAAAAAATGACTATCGACAAGTATTCACCGGTGGGTGCTTGAAGAATCATTTGCAAGCATGGGAAGCACTGGGAGCAACCAACTTTATAATGAAAATAATTTCTGGAGCTCGTATCCCTTTCTCAAACAAACCCCCTCTAAATTACCCGTCAATTACTATAAAGAGACTATACAAGACCAAAGAGTCACAGAAAATGACAAAAATAATTATAGACTTAAAGAAGCAACATGTGTTGGAGAGACCAAAGTCTCCAAGTCCAAGCTTCCTTTCGAAGATGTTTATAATACCAAAGAACGATGGAGGCTTCCGACCAGTCTTCGACCTGCGAGGACTCAACAGGTAAGTCCATACCAAACATTTACAACTGATATCCCATGCCTCAATACCAGAATTCCTTCAGAAGGGGGACTGGATGGTGAAAATAGACATATCCAATGCCTATTTTCACATACCAATTGCAGAATCCCATCGTTGCTATCTCCGGATGATATACAACAAACATATCCAATGCCTATTTTAACATACCAATTGCAGAATCCCATCGTTGCTATCTCCGGATGATATACAACAACGAACTATTACTAATGAACTCGCTTCCTTTTGGCCTGGCATCTGCTCCTCGCACTTTTGCAGCAGTTAGAAATTGGATCGCGGAGATCCTGCGAAACAAGGAAATTCGGGTTCTAGTCTATCTAGACGATTTCCTATTGGTTCACCAGGACCGAGCCAAGCTGGTCTCTCAGACTACGGAAGTCGTGAGACTCTTGGATTATATGGGTTGGCAAATAAATTACCTAAAGTCTGTGCTGAAGCCAATGCAACAAATAGAGTATTTAGGAATAACTTGGAATACCAAGACAGACACAATGTATCTCTCGGAGAGAAAAATAAAAAATATAAGAACAGCAGTAACAAAATTTTTAAGCAGAAAGGCATGCAATCTAAAACAGGTGCAAATAATTCTAGGACAACTAAACTTCGCCAGTTTTGTCATAAGAAGGGGTCGCCTGCACTGCCGCTACATTCAAATACTTCTAAAACGCTTCAAACAAAATTTGAAAGACAAAAGAGTCCTGCCACCACAAGTACGACAAGACCTTAGGTGGTGGAGTCACTCATTAGTGGGCAAGGCGGTTCTACATCAGCGACCATACACCCACTTTCTCACAACCGATGCGGCAGACACCGGCTGGGGTGCCCAGTTGAACGAGAAGATGATGTCAGGAGTCTGGACAAAAGATCAGATGAAATGGCACTCGAACTGGAAAGAGCTGTTCGCAGTATATGCATCAATCCAGAAACAATCACACTGCCTACAGAATGCTCACATTCTAGTCCAGTCGGACAATCGAACCCTTGTGGCGTATATTCGGAACGATGGGGGGACCCACTCAATGAGTTTACTCAATCTGACGTGCAAGTTGTTGAGGCTGAATGACAGGAAAAACATACTCCTATCAGCACACTACCTCCCGGGGAGGTACAACTGCACAGCCGACCACCTCTCACGGGGACGGCGACTGTAAGAATGGCATCTGCTGCCCACCGTAACAAACCAATTGTTCCATCGTTGGGGAACTCCAGATGTCGATTTATTCGCGTCTGCAGAAACAGCCGTCGACAGCAGATACGTCTCCTTAGACTAGAAAGACAATTTGGTAATATTCACCAACGCCTTCAGTCAGGACTGGAATTTTCGGCTCGGGTAGATATTTCCTCCTCCCAACCTGATCCCTCGAGTATTAGCTCAATTGAACCGTGCCAAGGGTTATTACATATTAATAGCTCCTCTATGGGATAAGACCTTTTGGCTAGCAGATTTAAAATATCGGGCGCTGGAACCTCCAGTGACAATAGAGAAAATTTCGGAGAATTTGAGAGACACCACAACGGGTCTTCCTCCACCACAAGCGGACCAACTGAACCTTCAGGCCTGGTTAGTTGGAGGTGGGCAAAATCAATTAGTAGATGGTCAGAATCAGAAAAACAATTATTAAATTCTAGTTGGAGACCATCAACACTAGGTACTTACTATCCAGCTATTAAACGATGGATAAAATGGTGTGACTTAAATAATGTTTCTTGCAATCATCCACAACCACATCAAATAGCAAGGTTTCTAGCCCACTTACACTTGGAAGAAAAACTAGCTTATAGCACCAT